TAGATTCTCTCTCTTTTACTATTTCACATACTTTAACTTAATTTGTGCTAGTATGAGAGGCTGAATATCTAATTAATAGCACTATGCATGTGCCATAAGAATATAACATTATTTCAAGTACAATATTTTACAAGGTAATGATAGTGATGCCAAAGCCTGTTCTGCGACACCATGAGGATGACTCATCTGAAACTCAGGGAACATCAATTGACAGTGTTTCTATATATAGAATTAATTGCAACTGAATTTAGAAAACAAGATATAGAATATTTTGACTACAGAAATTTAGTTTCTCTATATGAATAAATGTTCAGGAATCTGTAGGCACGGTTATGCTTCATAGAGTGGCAATTTTTTATTTGACCCTCCTTAAGGTTATTAGCAAGACATACTAAAAGTTATCTTAAATTTTACAGCTTAGGTGTAGCAAGCTGTGAAAAATATCAAACATTTGTCTCACAAACCCAAGAGGAAAGGTAGCCAGTTTGAATTAGTGGCCCATCCACGTTTCAGATTCCTGAATCATTATCTAAGGGATCTGGGTGTCCTCTATCTCATAAACAGATTCCATGATCATAAGAGCACTTAGCCAAAAGGAAGGAGTAGAAAGAAAAACCAACAACTGGTAACAGTTTAAATATAATTTGCAATTTGGGGAGTAATTTTTCTCCAAATGCCACCTGTGTTCAACCATCACAATACATTGCAAAATTTAGTAGTTTAAAATATCTTCAAGTTTTTGCTAGCCTCACATTAGTTAACATTTTCCTCCTTCAGTTTCAATTGCATTTTTCTTTCTCACACTTCTAAATAGCAATTCTATGACTGAATTGTGCACTTTACATGACATAACAGCATTTCAGTAGTGGTTGTAGTGGGATTACTCAAAAATGAAAAGTAATCATAAATGTAATATAGTATCTCTAAATGATTGGGAATAGAAGCAATTCCCTTTATACTGCAAAAGTACATGTATACACTTGAGAACAGCATGCATACACATTTTCAATGTATAATTTCTTCAATATGCACACAAAAGTATATACTAGCAAATACTTACTCTAGATTATGAAAAGTAAAGTAAGGATGTTTACGCTCTAAAATGAGCATTTCATTTAGAAAATGAAACATGACTGTTTACCCAGAACCAAACTCTAGTGCAACTATCACAGATTATTTCATGACTGGAAGAAGTTGTCAAATGTAAACAGGTCACTTTTTTTCCCCTTTAACATTTTCATTTATACCCCCATAAAAAGCACACTGGGGACAAGAAAATTAATTCCCTAAAGCTGTCAACTGGGTTGGGAAACAGCTTACTATAAAGTCTCCAGCTATAATAAACGGCTGTCAATAGTGAGCTGAGAGTTGGGCTGTGGAAAAACAGGTCCTCTGGAAAGGGTCATCTGAGAGGGAAACAAGCTGACGTTTCTCCTTCCAATGTGCTGAGGCAGTGGTTCTCAAAGTGTGGTCCCTGGACTAGCAGCATCAGCATCACCTAGGGTCTTGTCAGCGATGTAAATGTTCAGGCTGGACCCCAGAGGTACCAAAGCAGGACCTCTGGGAGTAGGGCCCAATAACCCCATTTAAGAAACCCTACAGTTGATTCTGAGAAAGCCTAAAATTTGATACTATCATATTTTAAAAGGCATATCCATTAAAAACATCTTTTTCTTTTAGAGAAAATACACCAATGCTTGCTATTATTTAAAGCCCTACTGGAATTAATTATATTGTCCTTCTCTTAACTCTATAACAATGAACTTTGCTTATTTATGAATAAATATCAAGATACAATCTTGCTTGAAAAAAAAAAGAAATTTCACTCAATCTGTGAATGCTAAGGGTACTTCCAAAAACTCATAAAAAATAATCTGTGGATAATTCAGGGACAGATCAGTTAAACACAAGGAAAAGAAAAGCTTAGTAAAATAGAGTGGATGAGGAATGTGGCTTACAGTTGTTTCACACGACCTTTGCAGGGTCATACAAGGGAAAACAAGGGGGTTTGGTGTATGTAGTTTTTGTGGGGGGGGGGGGGGGGTAACAATCAATGCTACAAGCAAACTCAAGGTATAAAAGTCAGACATTATGTTTCCACTGTATATACAATACAAATTAATAGTATTTGAGTTTGGTAACCCTTACTCAAGAATCTGGCATTTTACCCAGGCATCAATGAGAGCCATTAGTGAAAGATGTTCCTGTTAACAGCAATCTGAGCCTACGTAACTAAAAATCTTCATAGATTATATGTAACTTTACAAATTTCTTTGAAAGCTTTTGTGGTAATAAATCTTACTTTTCAAAATTGTGTAGCTTCAGAAGCACAGTTAGTATGAAAGCCACTAGTTGAAGTAAACAAACTAAGAAAAAAGAATCTTTACCTTTTAGTTTTAAATAGAGTGTCTTCAGATAATAATCATAGGGTTCAGTGGGAAAAATTAAAAGAGTAGTATATGATTTATGTTCTCATTCATAGAAAATATGCCTTTTCATACAAAAATTGTACATGTTGCTATCACCTTTCTCCCACTATTCCTTTTCTCCAACATCACAATTTTTCTTTCTCATCATGAAAACTTCTAAAAGGTATAAGCAAAGCCATTACAATAGCTTTTATCATAATAGCGAATTATAGCTACATATGAACATCAAAATGCCTACAATGAGAATTGAACAGTGACACTTGGTCTCAAGAAATGTCTAAATTGCACTTCAGTTCCAGTTAGCGAATTACTCAGCATCCTATTTCAAAGATGACATCATACAAACACATATTGTTATGGCTAACTTAGGCTCGACAAAAGATCGTTGCCATACTTTGCTAAAATGCACTTAACATTTATGTCACTGTACTAGAGTTTCAACTTTTGGGGCAAAGTCAGAAAAAGTGGGTCTGTATATTAATGCTACAATGAAATGAAAGAAAGGTGATGTGGGAAGAATATCAATATGTTTCTTTGGAAAACAAATTTCTGTTTTATATTTAAAGTTTAAATCATGTTAGTTTTTTTCAGCATATTATGCAAATCATGTAATATCATCAGTATATTGTGAGTGACCGTCACATTAAAAGTCAATAATAAAAAGCCGTTTTCTTTCATTTCATTAAAATAGTTATTTTATACTTAAACTCATGTAGTTTCATAAATTACTTTTTCTCACCATGATTAACTATTTATCAACTTTTATAAACCTTTAGTAATCTCAGAAATATTCTAAATTTTAAAACTTTGGCTTCTTTTAAAAAGATGATACATTTAACATGAAAATAAGTCATTCCATCTTCCAGTTACATCTTTCAACTTCACATTCTCACTAGAACTTCTATACTGACTCTAATTCTTTTCATCCTATGTATTTAAGCTCTAAGTATACTTTTAAATTGCTCTAGGGTTTTTTTTTCTTTAAGAAATGGATATTTTAGTTGTATAATTATAGTCAACACATTGAATGATCTGGGAGTATCTATTGATTCATTGTCAAAATTATTTTTATAAATAACCACAAAATCTTAAAGTTCCTCCAGAGCAATAAACACTAGAAGATGAGAAGGAAATGGAGTTTCAATAAGACCTTCTACCCCACCTCACTCCCACACACACATACACACACACACAAATGGTATGTGTGTGTGTTGGGGGGGAAGACTCTTGAATTTCCAATCACTAACCAATGACTGCCAATAAATACTACATGCACATTTATTTTGCTTTACTGTACTTTCTGAAATCTATATGTTCCTTATTTTTAACAAATTCAGATGGGCCAGCACCATAGATGGACTCAGTACCAACAAAGATCGAACATGGATTGCGAAATGCTAGAAAGGTGGTGTGGTGAGAGCTAATCACAAAAGAGCAAGCAAACGAACTGAAATGCCAGTTGCTCCAGAGCAACTATCATTAAATAAAAGGTATCTTTGGCTGTAGTGCCAGCTTGATATCTCCCTCCCCCCTTTCCTTGCTACTGCGGGATTGGCACCTGGCCAGCGCAAGCACATGATACCCTAGTGCCATCTACAGGCTATTACTGACACTCAAATTTCGTGGCAACAGACAAGCACCAGTGAAATAAATTAGACAGCGCTGCACTTAAATCTTTATTAACAAGGAATTATTAGACCTAAGAAAAACTAATTCTGGATTTGGTTGAAATATGAGTTTCTCAGCCTCTTAATCCCTCTTTGTATGCCATATTTCACAGTTTAAAATGAGTTATGACAGATCACTTATGCATTACTAAGATGAGAGAATATTTACAATGGATTCATTCTTTTCTGTATAAATGAGTTAAATCAGGGAGACAGCATTCCTTATTTTTTTTTTTCTTTTCAAGAGTACTTTGGCCATTGTGGACAATCTGCAAACCTTTCTATGCAATACCCAACTTACTATATTACAATAAAATCATCTGAAATCAAAAAGAGGACCTATATGGCTTAGTTGCAATCTCTCCACAACCATGTGCTTCACAGCTGATGTACATTTACTATTCTACCATCTTGTTTAGAGACTAAAAAAAAAAAGTTAACCCCTTTAGCAACCACAGCTCCAATATAATTACAGTCAGCCCTTCAAACATCATTTAACACTTGAGATTTGAAGGTGACTTTTCAGATGAAAAGGTAATATGAAAATCTTGAATTTGGGAACCCCAGGAGCAGAATTTGGCATACCAAGACAGGTTTTCTTCTTCAGCCAACATTATCTTGGGACATTTTGGAATCATTTCCTCTTTTCATCTTTTGCCTTTTGAAGCAAACTGGGAAGTTAAATAATTCTCAGAACTCAGAAATTTCAAAGCTGTTCTAAAAAAAAATCTTGACTGAGCCTCAGAGGAAGAGAAAAAGGGGTCAAGTTTTTTTTTGTTTTTGTTTTTTCCTCTTTATAACTAAGCTAAAGTTCGACCAAAACAACAGACACACTGGCACGTTAGTACTGGTTGACTGGGCACTTGTATGCAGTACTTATAGACCAGTAGAAGTGCTCGTTTACCTGTCTGGTGTGTAAGGGGCCCTTTGTCTTGAAGCCTCCTTGGGAACTGCACTCTGAGGCACTGAAGTGATCTGAACTAGTGGAGGAGCGTTTGGACAGGGTGTCACAACCCCCGACAAAGGTGTTGTCCAAAGGGAGTTCCTGAATCACGTGATGCTTTTTCACGGACACTGGAGTGTCTGGTTTCAGATGGAAAGCAGGCTGTGGAGAAGCGGATTTGTAGTGCTTGGCCAGGTCAGGGCTGTTAGGCTTGAAGGTGGTCGGGGGTGCGGGGCCCCAGTCAAATCTTCCTATGCTCTGCTCCTCCAGCTCAGCCGGCAGGCTGATGGTCCCATTGATGGGTTCGTGCACCGCGTCATCGGGTTTGGACTCTTCGATGGTCACAAAGTTCAACAGCGAGCTCTTGGGAGACTTCCTTTTCTTTCTCTTCTTTTTCTTGTTTTGCTTGTTCTCCTGGTTGGGGGACATCCATTCAGCCCCTTGCTTGCTCCTCTGAGCTGCCTTGAACCGGGATGCGTGGCGACAGCGCACCAGCACGGTGACGAAGATCACGACGATGACCACCATGGCACCGGCCACGATGGCGATCATGATGGTGAGATAGTCCTCGTTTTGGTAGGGCTGGCTGCTGTCCCCTATGTTCCTGTCCAGGGGGGTCTCCATAGTCCTGCGAATCAAGTCGTAGATATAGGAGGCATTCCCAGCCGTGTCGTTCACATACAGAAAAACAAGCACAAGTGTGTGCAAGGACTTGGGGTAGCCCAGGTCGCTTATGTTGACCACCAGACGGTGCAAGCCCACGTCGGTGGGCGCCGGTTTCTCTTCCAGGGTGATGTTGCCGGTGACTGGGTCAATCCGAAACAAGCCTTTGCTGTTGCCACTCACAATTGTGTACTTCAGTTCAGCGTTCATCCCGGTGTCGATATCCACCGCAAACACTTCTGCTACCACCGAGCCAGGGATGGCCGAGAGGGGCACCAACTTGAAAGAAGTGTTAGACGGTGGGGAGATGACAACGGGGCTGTTGTCATTGACGTCCATGACATTGATGGTTACCTTCGCCGTAGAGGACCGGGGTGGCTGTCCTCCATCGGTGGCTTTGACATCAAAAGTGTAGGAACTCTGCTGCTCTCTGTCGAATGAGACATTCGACTTGATGACTCCGGAATAGGGATCCAACACAAAATTATCATTGTCATTCAGAATGGAAAGAGTCACAGCTTTATTCTCGCCAGCATCTGCGTCTGTGACTGTGATCACCCCCACAGTACTATACTTTGGCAGATTCTCAGACACAAAAAACTGAAAGTGGTTATGAGTAAACTTGGGGCTGTTGTCATTCTCATCCAGAACAGTAACAATCACCGCCGCTTGGCTTTGGAGGGGAGGGGTCCCATTGTCCCTGGCAGTTACTGTAAAAATGAACCGCTCTTGTTCCTCTCTGTCAAAGACTCTGGAGGCTGTCAAAACTCCTGTCTTTCGGTCCAGATCAAAGAAGGAGGCATTCGGTCCAAGCTGGTAAACAATGTCTGCGTTTTTCCCACTGTCCTCATCTGTGGCACTAATAGTTGTTAAGTATAACCCACGTCGGTTGTTTTCAGAAACTGACAGCTCAATTACAGGCTGGTTGAAAATGGGTGGGTTGTCATTTTCGTCCTCAAGCTTAACCCTTACCAGGGCAGTCTGATTTAAACTGGGCTTCCCAGAATCAGAGGCAACAATTTTAAAGCTGAATTCTTTGGTGCCCTCATAGTCCAACAAAGAGGAGGTCTCTAACAAATACTGGTTGTCGTACACTGCCTTCAAGTGAAATGGGACCTCTCTTTCAATAAAACAGATCACTTTGCCATTCACATCTGTGTCCTTATCAGAAACTGTAATTAGGGCAATCTTGGTGTTGACGGGATCTTTCTCGGACAAATACACCGTGCCATTGATGGGACTTATGATGTACCTGAGGTCTATGTTAGGAGGGTTATCATTCACATCAGTCACATTGATGGTGACAGTGGCTCGAGCCGGAGTGGAGCTGCCATCACTAGCCAGCACTGTCACTTTGTGAATGGCCGTCTCCTCTCGATCTAGGGACCTCTGGACAGTGATCAGCCCAGTAGTATTATTTAAAGCAAAGAGTCTTTTGGTAGCAGGGGCGACCTGGGCACCAAAAATGTACCGGATTTCAGCATTACTGCCTATGTCTGCGTCAGTGGCATGGAGCTGAATGACAGAGGTGCCCACAGGAGCATTCTCCGGGATATGGACCTCTACTTGCCCCTCCTTAAACACTGGCCTGTTGTCATTTACATCACTTACTGTGACCTGCAGGATGGCCGTGCTGGATTTCTGTGGAGTGCCTCCATCCTCTACTTTGATTTTCATCACATAGGTATCTTTCTGTTCTCGGTCCAAGTTTTGCTGAACAATCAATTGCGGCCACTTCTCTCCCTCCGGAGTTTCCACAATATCCAGTCCAAACACACTCTGCCCATTTAACAACTCATAATGCTGAACACCATTGAAGCCTGTGTCAGGATCTGTTGCTGATGGGATTGGAAAGCGGCTGTTGATCAAAGTGTTTTCTGGAATTGAAATATTGATGACAGGAGATGGAAACATGGGGGCATTGTCATTGGTATCCTTAACAATTATTTTTATTTTGATCAGCCTGAAAAAGTCATTGGGGAGGATGACCACCTCAAGTTCAAAGAAACACTCATTCTCCTCAGCGTAAGAGGCTCCAGCACAGAGCTTCTCTCTGTCTATTCTATTGGAGGTTGTGAAAATCTCCCCAGTGCTACTGGACACTTTCACCAAAGGGGCATCCCCAGCTTTAGAAACCAGTCTGTAGACGAGGCTGGCACTGGTCCCTGTGGCAGCATTGATGTGAGAAATGTTCAGATCCTTTGGTATGTTTCCTATGGGCACATTTTCAGGCAATTCCTCTCTAATCGTGTAAATAAGTTCTTGAGCTATTGCGGAATCCAGCCTTAAACAGGCAATCAGAGCAGCCAACAGGTAAAAATCCCTCAGGTCCATGATAATGTATTTATTTTCTTTTCCCGAATTTTAGGGTTTAAAGGTTCCCACTGAGGAAGGATGCACGAATTGCAAGAGGAAGCGTGCATGGACGGGAGGATGCATTACATCTCATCGCTTATTTGGAGACAGCCACTGTCAACACAATTGTACAGACAATATTATTCTTCAGTAAACAGACACACACAGTCACGAAACATCACAGCACATTTTCCACTGCATATTAGTAAACATGGCAGTTTGCGCTGCCACTGTTTGCAAGTTAACTCTGTGGATGAAAACACTCAACATACCCTGCTTGTTGCATTTGGCCAGAGGAAATAAAATCATCTACTTTTGAATTCAGGACAGCTGCTATTTTTACCTGTGTTCACCCACACTGTTTTTCAGGACACCGTTTAATTCACAACATGCATTCTGGTTCTCCTCCTCCCCTCCCCCTGGCTTACCTGCCTCCTGGTTTCTAACCCACCTCCCTTAGTTTTGTTTTCTTTTTTTAGGTGGAAGTGAAAAACACTAAGTATTTAGCTGTGCTTCCTGCTAACTGCTTTGTCACATGTCAACTGTGATGAGTTTTCTTCTCTGCCACACTGAGTCATCTCTCTCTCATTTTTTTTCTTTTTTCTTCTAAAAGGACTATGTCCTTCTTTCCCTCCAGTTCTTCAACTGCCTTCTAACACAATCTTCCTGGGAAACAAGCATCGGACATGCTGCAGCATCAGCAGCAATAGTCACCGGCCACTACAGATCCGTATTGCCTAAAAGCACAACACCGAGACTTCAAATGTCTTACCCAGACCTTGCTCTCATTTCTCCAGGTTGCCAAATTAACCCCATCAGCATTAACCAGCACGTTAAAACTTTACAAAATAATAATATAAGATTCCTATATCCTAGAGGTGAAAGAGAGTGTCAAGGTGTATGTGAAACGCAGCAATATTTCCATGTAACAGCATGATATTTTCTACAGAGCCTAAAAGAGGGGAGGGGGGGGAAATGCAGTTTCTTAACCCTGGTCTCTGTTATAATATTAGTAACATCTGCCACACATAAATACTGCAACCCAATCATGCAGCATAAAAGGCTCCTGCTTAGATGCCCCTCTAACTGCAATGTAAACGGGCGCAAGGCTCCAGACAGCCACCCACTTGAGTAAAACTGGTCAGTTCTCAGGCTCTGATCTCATCTGCATTAGCTGCACGCTAGCTGATGCCCGTGATTAGTTCCGGCAGGGTGATGCAGGTAGGGATGCAGATACAGCCTGGTAGGTGAGTTGTGCCCCAACCGTCTACCCAATTACAAACATCCCCCGTCTACACCGGAGGACATATCTAAACACGGCATTTACAATTGTGCATGCGAAACTTTACACTTACGTTAGTTGCCTCAACCTTTCCCCTTTCCCGGTATGCTGCAGTTAGGAACGATTTGTTCCCACACATAGAAAGCCATGCATCTGGTAGCACGTTTGGGGAGAAAATCAGGAGCAGCACCGCGTTTCCTCCCGGTGAAATGTGTTGCTTCGGGCTGGCAAATTAGCAACTCCAGAGAACAAATTCGCAGATTGGTCGTTATTCTCTCCACATTCCTTCTCTATTACCCAGGGGGTCTGGGCTCTTCTGGTATTTAGCACGCACAGCATCCAGGCGCACTTCTCCAGCTCAGGGGTATTTTCCACAGCATCCAGCATACCATTTCCCTCCGATGTCAGCGCCGCTGAAGTCTCTAACTTCTTGTAGGAAACGTCAGAGTTGGGGTGATGGTGCTTCTCGGGCTGCTCTCCGGGGTGACAGCGGCCCGAAAAATTCCTAACGGGTTGCTCATCTCTTGCTGGTTGGAGAGACTCCGGGGCGCTTCTTCCCGTCTGGCTCGCTTTCCCTCTCCCGCTTCTCCTCTGCCCCTCTCTCCTTCTCCCTCTCCTCGCTCTGAACTGAATTTCTTGATATAACTCTCAATAAGCCCAGAGGGAGGGCGTGACGGCCGCGGACCCGCCCCCGGCCCCTGATTGGCCCGCATCCTGC